GACACAAAGGGCTACAATTGCTGATGACTGAGGCAGCACATCCCCTTTATTATCTCCCTTTCTCTAGAAGAATGAAATCCCCCAGGAATAGCTGAAGACACTTGTCAAATTAAAACTGTGATAAAAATCCTCCACATTGCTCTAGCTCTAGTACACCAGTTGACAAATAAGCTGCAATAGGCAGTGAGGAATATCCCGTCGAGGCTGGATAACTGAACCACTGGTTCTTTCCCATAATAGTTCCATGTTAGTGAAATTTTGGTGGTTGTCGGTTTATAGGCTCCATCCCATATGAAACCACTTAGGCCCACCCCATGAAGTCCTATAGAAAAGTGTTGAATGTGTGAAGGGAAATAATCACAAAGAAATCATGTCCCAGTTCACATCCACAGGCTGCACGGAAGAGTCACTGGCTTAAAAGCCGCAGCAAAAATTTTTGTAGAGAAACACTAATTTAAAAAAATAGGTTACATACTCACGTAACTCACTAACATACTGAAAATCATGAAGGGTGTTCCTCTCAATACCCCATTAATTATGAAGTTACTGTATTTGTAGAGAAATTAATTTTACTTGTGCTTTAAGCACAGTACCAAATACAAGTCTTTTAGGGAATCAGTAATACCAACCAAAGACAACATTCATGTACAACATCCTGGAAAGCACTGCTTCTCAATTCCTGGTAGTCAGCACTACTCTGCAATTTTGGTATTTTAAGCTAAGAAGATACATATAACGCTATGACTTTTTGAGTACTATTAAAAAATTAGGTTTCCTACATCTTAATGGCCGAGGAAAGAAGTCAGTAGCCTCATGTGAAGTAACTGATGGTGTCAAGTCATCAGCAGAGGACTGTGTTTCTTCATCATCACCCGACAAGAGGTCTTTAGCGATTTCCTCCTGTATCATTAAAATAAAAAACAAAACCTCAGACTGACTATTAAGTATAGACTGGTGACCATGTAGATCCAGCAAATTGTAAGTCTCATTAACTAAAATGAATTATTTCACCATAAGTAAATTTAGCAGACCATACTCACTTAATTAAAAAGCTAGTTTGTTCCTCGTAAATCTAAGAACAAATATAACCATTTATTTCAGAGTTGTACACAAGGGTTCATTTCCCCTTTCTCTTCTATTAAAATAAACACACAAGAAGTAACTTGTGCAAGCTTGAGTCTCAGACATTCCTCCAACTGCTTCCAATGAAAAATGCCAGTGGAAACTGCCTCAAATCTTTAGAATTCTCTCACTCTCTGCATCACAGATATACCAAAGCTTTAAAAGGCTGCTACCCCTTAAACTCTGGGAAAAAAAAAACAACAGCCAGGCACATTTGCAGACTTTTGCTGAGAGGACTGTTACCGATAACAGACAACCTGTTATCTTCCCAAAACACAAAAAAATTGAAGTTAAAACCCCCAGATATTAAGAAATAAAGAGCAGACTTCCTCCACTAGCAGACATGTGTGAATCCCTCTGTATAGAGGTTAGGAAGGGAAAGAACTGCATTAGACAACAAACCGACTACATTTTTTGTAGCCTCAACACAACTGTGAATCCTAATGAGAATCAGATGTGCAGAGCCATCATTATACCCTACTTTCTGTGGAGTTTACCATTACATCACACTCACAGAAAGCAAAACAAACCAAAAGACATATACTTACTACCAACATACCTTATAATCCAAACTACTAGCTGCATATACTTTACAGCCAAACATCAGATTAAAATTTCAGAATTCAAAGTTAGCTTGCAAAGCACAAAACCTGAAGTTTCAGGTTTTTACATCAGCAATGCAACACACATAGTTGCTGCATATCTCTCTCACTCTCCAGACTTCAGACCCTTCCAAACGATACGCATTTGAAAGCAACATTCCAAAGCATTCAGGAGTGCTTTTTAAAGTTACCCACAAAGTTTTGATACTTGACATATGTGTTGGAAGCCAGAATTATTATTTCTGGACATCGCACACATTATCAAAAAACCCCACCTCTATTAAAAATCCCCATCTATTTAAAGTTCTTTGGATGTGTTTTAGAAGAACTGTTAACTTACTCATTTCTCATTTGTAGTAATATAGTGCCACTAAAGTTGCTATGCACTTGTAAGTGTGATAATTATAATTAGAATCAAATCCTCAATAGCCTGGAAAAAGAATAAATTCAGAGTAATATTGTATATTGAAATGAACAAAGATACATACTTTGTAACATCGAGAGATAAGTTAAATACAATTTGAAGTCACCTGGATTTCTGTTTTTAAATCATAATACAGGGGAAAACGGTTCTGACTTACTTTATCTAGAGTCATATCCGGAAGTTCATCTGCAAGTTCACTTGGCGAGCTATCCGCACTGGCACCTGCTATAACTGGAATCGTGGGTTCATAGCCATAGAATGCCAGTAAATCTTCCAGTGGCATATTTCCTTCCTAATATAAGAGCATTTACAAACAATTCAACATATTGCCAAACACTTGTAAACAGTTCAGGCCTAAAAGGACAAGACATATTTTGAAGAACAAAAGTAAAAAACCAACCAAACAAAAACTTAATTGAAAGTAGGAATCTTGATTAAAGATTTAAAATCTTTTCAGGAACAGGACTGAAATTAATTCATAACCATGTCTCTTGGCATATAGTGAAGTGCCATTAAGCTACTGAAGAAAACTGTTTACTGGATGAAACTAAAGCGTAATTATTAAAAACCTGCTCCTTCTCCAATTCATACAGTAGAGCGTAATTTGCCTTTATTTCTTTGAGACGGAAGATATCCTAGAAACACTAACAACCCCTCTACAAGAGAGAAATACAGAAGAAAAACTTCTAAGACATTAGTCCTACATAGTTACAGCTGCAAGCGTGCAAAACTCCACAAAAGTAAAACAATATAGCAACTTTTAAGCCCTCCTTTCCATCTCCTGCACTCTATATTTTATAATGACCGTTGAGAAGGTAATAGCAGAAAGACAACTAATGATACAGAATGCAAAAATCAAGAGAAAAGCTTGATTTATAACTTGCTTTTTCCAACAGCTTTTGATCAAGTGATTTTAGTAAGTATCATCATACTTGCATCCTAATACAATTAATAAAACACATAAACAGTGGAGATTTTTTTAGTTACCTGATTGAAGCCATCAAAATATTAAAAATGTTTTCCAGTATTTATACGTTTAAAAGCTGTATTACCTTTAAAAATTTCTTATTGAACTCATACACTGAATAAATTACTTGTTTTCTTTAGTCAGCTAAGGCTTTAGTCCTGCTAAGACTTTTCACAATGGGCAAATGTAAACTTGCGATCAAGTCTTTTCAGGATCAGGACCTAAAGTAATAGTGCATTTAAGATTAATGGCTCTCAGTTTGTTTATTATAGAAGCAGTAAGATAATTTTCTGGAGTTACAACTCCATTTTAACCACCAGACTTGGCAAGCTGCTTCGCTATTATAATTGCACGTTCATAATCAGCAAAAATCTAATCGTAAAGGTAGCAGAACAACAAAAAAAAATTAATCAGGAGTATAAACACTGTGAACTCCACATTTAGAAAATTTGCTTTTACATGGACTACAAAAATACAGCCTCATATTTGATACTAAAAATTACATTTTCCTGGAACTCTGTTAACCAAAATCTCCAGTCATGCTGAGTGGTGTAAGTGGGTCACCAAAGAGTAACGCAAACAGCATCAATTTGTGGCTGTTCAGCATTCAGCAGTCATTTAAAATTGGTGATGTACTGCCACACATGAACAAGAGGTGTAAATAGGAAAAACATGTAATTAGAGAGTGTAAAATGGAATAGGAGGAGTCAGGGAGCACGTTGGTCACTTTGTACACTCAACAAATGCCAAGCTGATGAAACTAAGACACAGAACTACCATTTACATAGCAAATGAATGTGATCCATCATGCCTAAACCAGGACTGTTTGTTTGTATATTGGAAAAGCAAAACCTGACCAACAGAATGAAACACCACTCAGTAGTACGCAAAACGTAGTTTCAACTTATATCCAACTCCCAAAACTTGGAAGTGGCAAGTGATACAAAATGACAGGGCTCTAAACCCTGCTTCAGTGATTCCTCTACCAAAGTGAAAGGACAACTAAATGAAAAGAGTATGAACTTAACAGAACACTAATATCTTTGAGGAGCCAAGTTCAGCCTTCTTGTGAGAATGCACTGCTATATCCTAACTAAACCAGATTTTCTTTTCTTTTTTTAAACAAGCTACAAAGGTATGTTGCAGGAAACTGCATTATACAATACATACTGAAGAACAGGTCGAGTGTTCTTTTCAGTAAAAGTCACAACACGTATGCGCATTTACAAGAAAGCAAGTCACTCTTACCTTTTCCAAATCTTCAATTTCAGAGCTGAAATTTTTGCTTTCTTCCATCATTTCCTCTTCTTCAAGAGTTCGCTCATCATCATAATCATGTACCAGCATTTCAGCAGATGGGTCAAAGTCATGATCCTCAGATGATAAAGAGCCAACTATCAAAAAAACTTAATTTGAGTATTTTTTTGTCTATACCAACATATGAAATCACATCACAGAAAAAAATACAGTTGCATGAATTCTTTTATATACAGGGTCATATGGAAGGCCATGGAACAAGTGGAACAAACTCCTAACTACTTGACCAACTCAGCTGTTTTAGCTGACCTTCCCTTTTTGTACCTCTAAGTAATAGGTGCAGTTTTCTCCCTTGCAGTACTTGGGAGAAGTATCTAAACTACTACAACAAAGTTTCAGAAAGTACAATCCCAAATTAATATTTTACTGAATAAGAGAGAGTTCTAACATCCTTCAAATCACCGTTAAGGTACAAAGCACACACATCACAAGATTTCAGATGCTGCAAGACTGTGACTTGTAGACTCTGATTCTATTTATGTGATTTATTTGGTAATCAGCAGTTTTTCACTGGTAAACAGCTAACTGACGTTATGAATCAGCTTCCTACTAATAGCAAAGTAAACAGCAACACTCGCTTCAGATTAGTTTAGCCTCATAGATGGATCTTTTATTAAAACTAATTTAATTCTTAGCACCTGATCTAGAAAGAAAGAATAAATATAGCAGAGTTTCAAGAAATATTGAGGAAAATATACCAGAAATAACAAAATGCTTCTAACGGATTAATTAACAAGCCACTGTGACAGCTCTGTGGTCCAACAGATACTTTTCCATTACTCAAGAGAATAATCATTAAGTCAACAAAAAAGTACTGCTGTTAGTTTAAATGCATTTTGTCAACTGTAAGGTTATCATTAGATTCAGTAAGTTTTAAAGATGCAAACACTCTGCACCACAAAGTCAGTGTTCTACAATGAAAATCACTGAATTGCAGGGTTATTTTGTTCTTTAACGTTCACTTTCTTATGGCTTTCAGGATGGAGGAATGAAGCAGATTTGGATATTTCTCTTTCACTTCTCGTTTCCCTTTCTAGTTCTTGCACACTAGCGCTCTGTTGCAATCCTTGGCTTACAAGCAGCAAAGAAAAGGTTTATTAGGAATTATTTCCATGTAAGGACTCCAACAGAAGTTTTGAAGGAAGTAGCTACAAATTTTCAATCCTCTTCAAAAAAATAAAGCAGTATTCCTCTTTGCACTGCTTCCAGCCTTGAAAGAGACAGTAGTATATACTAAACCTCCTGAGTCCAAGAGCATCTAAGCAATTTTTTGGCAATTATGCAGGAAATCAAAGTAAACTTTTATCTATTTAGCTCACTTAAGACAATACTGTGAAAGTTCATAATATACTGCAGAGAAACATTCATGGCAAAAATGCTTTTTATTCACATGCTATTCATATTATGGTCTTATAAAACTTTCAGTATAGCTGATAACACTAATTACATTAAATGTTGAATTCTCCTGCTGTTGACCATTGCATCCTCATCCAGCTTTAAGGAAGTGTTAAATGCCTTAATCTAATATATGTGTGTGCGCACTCAAGATTATTGCTTCTAGTTGCTGTTCTAACTCATTTTATGTTTGAGTAACTCAAGTGGAAGTTCTATTTCACTCACAGAGTTTAGATAAAAAAGTCCCGCTTCTTTAGTAGCTCTGAACACTCAATATCCCATTTAAAACATGTAAAACCATATTCAAAAATACAAGCTCAATAAATTTCATAAGAATCGCTAAAGAAGATGACAAAGAGCCAATACAGAAGGCAGTTACACAGAAGCAAATATATTCCCCAAATACTTCTTTGAAAGTAGCCCTCCTGATGTTAACTATGCTTCCTTGTGTACAGAATTCGCAAGAACCTTAACAGCAGTTAAAGCTTTAAAAATTGCTCATCATTATGATTTTAAACATTTTCTGTTATTACCAAGAAGTCAAAAATTTACACAAGCCTGTAGTTATCAGCAACAAGAGAAGCAGTCTCTCTCTCCAGGCTATATGGCTTTACTGAGATGCTGACTTAAAAGTGCTACAAAACTTTGTTTTCATTTTGGGTTCCAAGCAGCCAATTACTAACTGCAACTGGAGTTAAGGAAAGGACTCCACAACGCACATCTCCTTCTCTTAAAAATCTGGCAGGCGGTTAACTGCGTGCACATGAAGCGTTAGGAAAGGTACGAGGGGATAAATTTGGGAAGGAGAGCGGTGCGCGGGCGGCAGGCCGGGTGCTGGAGCAGAAGATGGGCGAGGACGAACCTGGGCTCGAACTCCCAAATGAAGCCTGCGGAGAGAAGAGAAAGCCAGATGAGAGCAGGCTCCCTCCGGCCCAGCAGCAGGCAGGGGTCTTCATTTCATGCTTCGACTCCCTCCGCCCCAGGAGCTGCCCCCTTCCCCCGCCGCTCCCCTGTCCGCCGATCCCCGCCGGACTCGGCCCCTGAGTCCCGCCCTGTTGGCCCCTCCAACCCGTTCACCATCTCCCAGCCCTCCTTCCCTCGCTCGGTCGCTCACCGCCCGCTCTTCTTCCCTCCTCCTCCTCCGGCAGAAGCCCCACAGCGGCTTAGCCGGCGCTCCC